TATTAGACCGTGTAATGTACTTTTAATCCTTTTTTAATCTAAACAAATATCATAAATATGACCTGACTGTGAAAGATTCCTGCGGATCCATCCTGAATAAACACCAACAGGTGCATCACACAGGTGGGACTTCATTTACAGAAGAAAGTGTGTAAATCTTAGCCTTTATAGCCGTAGATAAGCAGCACAGTGTGGGGTGTTAGTTTGGAGATGAGGCCTGTTTCTACTGCAAACATGATCTGAGTGTGAAGGATTTGTCGACAGGAAGTGAGAAGTCAGCAGCCAATCAAACGGCTCTCAGGGATGTTGTTTGCACATCACTGAGTGAAATGAGGTCAATCAGGCAGTGGAGAACTTTATGACATTTACGACAGGGCTTTTGATCTGCTCTGAGAGACGCAATCGAGCTCTTTTAGCATTAACTCTGACTCCAAAAAGAACTTAAGGAGAAATCAGACTGGAAACTAAACTGACATGGACTGAATTCGGAGAGTTTCACCTATGCATGCATGTTTAGCCTAACACACTGGTGCATGCATTAATGTTTGCAAATATTAGCATGCAAAAAAAATCATTAAATGATAACAAAGATATACACTGTAAAAATATCTATTTTTTGTGTGTTTTTGGGGTTATTTCTGTTTGTGAATTGCATTATGGGATGTTGATCTCTGCTCTGTCCACTTCTGATGTTGTAAATTCAACTCTACGGTTTAACAAAGTGACTTTTATTGACATTTCAGTAAATAATATAATGTATAATAAGTAGTATCTAGAGTGTAAGGTAACAGAAAACGTGCTGCAGTTTATTACAAGGCGCCTGTAGCATAATATACAACACCAACCCAGACAACACAGCACTTTTAACTTTTACAAATGACAATAAAAGTCACTTTTTACAACTTATCAAGGATAAAAGTTGTTGGAAGAAAGATCAAGCTCCCATAATGCAACTCGAAAGCAGAAATAAATGTGGGAAAATAAAAATATGAATCACAAAATACAGGAAAATATTCATTTACGGATATTTTTTACAGTAAAAGTCATTTCTTTACAACAATCTTTTACGGATATTTCTAAATAAACAGTATACTGTATCTTCAAATGTAGTTTGTGGCATGTAATTAATAAACTGGCTTTCTTTTACATGCAAAAATTCTTTACTTTTTTTTTACAATAGTTTATTTGTTGATGCATGTGGTTTATTTTCAACTATAGTTAATATTAATGTAGAAAATAAACTAAATTTACTAATTAAATAAACATTTCACATGCAAAATTCATGCATTAAATAAATCACGTTTATATACTCTACAAGCAACAGTTTATTTTAGGCAAAAGTTTATAATTATGCATATGATCAAACTTTAGTTGTTCTAGATTAATCACTCATTAAATTATATTTCTTTACATGCAAAAAAAAGCATTTTTATTATTGGTGCATGCATGGATTAATTTGTCTCAAAAAAATATTCCTGAATCTTTTTTTGCACGTAAAATAAAGAAACTTTTAACAAATGCTTAAACCACACATCACTTTTAAAGCTCCCATTAAATTCTCTTTTTTTTATTATGTGTAAAAATAAAAATACAGAAATGTAGTAAACACTAAATAAAACGTCCTGCATGCACACATTAATGTGCATTTATAAACAGCAGGTTTTTTCTTCTTTAGGTTTAATAAGTGAAAGTTTGTCTATGCTATATAAAGATTTTTACATGCAAAAGTTCAACCTTCAATTATTTGTTTGCTCTCTATCAATGTATTTAAAGGTAATATATCACTTTAAACTATTAAAGATGTTCATAAGCGTCACTTTTTACAACTTTTTAAGGTTAAACATTGTTAGAAAAAACATCAAGATTCCACAATGCACGTCAAAAGCAGAAATAAGCAATAAATAAAATAAAGCCAGAATCACAAAATATGGAGATCTGCTAATTTACAGATATTTATTTACAGTGCGGGATCAGTCGGCTGGATTTAACCCCAGACCAGAGTTAAACAGCATAGTTTAGTTTCACTATGACTGGAATGGATTTGCTGAGTTCAGCTTAAGGAATATTGTGCAATAATCTGTTACACTGTAGGTAAAGCTGTTGTTTACATTATGCAAAAAGCATTATGTTGGTGTAATTGTTAAGCAATTCACTGAACCTGTGATTGTTACCCTGAAGTGCTGTTTCCACCGGATCCTACTGATAAAATATGTTGTATAATAGTTGTATAATATAAAAAATGTATAACTTAATCTATTTCAAGGACCTAAACCAACACTTTAGTCTTGCATGAAACCAGTAAACTTAAATTTTTTGTCATTTATGATACATTTATTTCTCATTTTAGTGAGGAAAACAACTTTTTTACTTATATGTAAATATGCAATACAGCTTGTGAGTCCATGCATTATGATTTTACCACGTTTAATTAGTGTAAAAATTAATAACCTGTAAATGTTTTCTTTTGGTGTTATTTCCACCTGATACGACTTATAAAAATGAGTCATGTTGGCCTAAATGAATGTTTGTAGGATGAGTCGTTGGTTAAATAACATGGACTTATATAAAAACAGTTCATTTAGATTATTTTAATCAGTTATCTTCAGCTTATCATTCATCTGAGAAAAGATGAGTAAACACATGTAAAGTTAATTTGTTATTAATCCCCCATAAGTCACACTTGTTCCATTAAAAATGTGTAATAAAGTCAAAATACATTACATTTGTCACAAACATCGTCATCATCATCATCATCATCATCATCATCATCATCATCATTAAAATTATATTTTACTAAGTAATAAAGTTTTATGTACAAGTTAATATTATCATGTCAACTGTTTGTTGCCAAGCAACATAACATCTTGCATTATTAAATAATCAGAGGTCATGGGGGTGTGTTTATCAGCTTTTTTACAATGTCAAATGCTTATCCAGATTTTAGACTTGATTTCTGGAGACACAAGAATTTAGAGTTTATGCAAACGTGTTGCATATTTACCGAAATGTGTTTTCTATACATATATATATACATATTGCATACAGTATAATGACCACAACTAATTTGGCAACCTAATGCTTTTGTCTGAGATAAAAAAAAATTATATATACTACACTATACACTACCTGTCAAAAGTTTGGGGTCAGTTTTTTTCATGTTTTTTAAGAAAATGATTCCTTTCATCAAGGCAGCATTTATTAAATCTATATATAAAATCTACAATTTTAAAAAATGCTTTGTTATTGTATGTAGTTTAAAATGAAATTGTTACTACAGTCATTATTGCTTTTATTGCTTTTACAATTAATAATAATAACAATAAAATTATTATTATTATTATTATTATTATTATTATTAGAGTGATTTCTGAAGGATCATGTGACTCTGAAGACTGGAGTAATGAAGCTAAAAATTCATAACTAAAATTACTAAAATAAATTTTTAGATGAAATTATAAACTACTTCTAAACAGTTATTTTGTAGTGCAATAACATGTCACAATTTTACAATTTTTATTGTATTTTTGATTAAATAAATGCAGCCTTGGTGAGCAGGAGAAGCTTATTTTAAAACATTTAAAAATCCTACTGAATATAACATAACATAATATAACATAATAAAAAATATAAAAATGTAAAAATTTAGTTGTTTAATTTGTTTAATTCTGTAGGTTGTAATTTATTTTGCAATATTTTGCTTGAATTTAAGTGTATCAAGTTTCATTTTTAAATATTTTTGGTAACTAAAATAATTTTTTAATAAATTTATCTGTTTAATAAATCTGTTTTGTTTAAATGCACCAACATACAAAATACATGCTATATTCACTGAGAAATGGAGAAAAATATTAAATGGAGAGCAGTTTGTTTCAACACATTTCTAATCATAATAGTTTTAATAACTCATCTCTAATCACTGATTTATTTTATCTTTGTCATGATGACAGTAAATAATATTAGACTAGATATTTTTAGGACACTTTTATTCAGCTTAAAGTGATATTTAAAGACTTAACTAGGTTAACTAGGGTAAAGTTGGGGTAATAAGGCAAGTCATATAATGATGGTTTGTTCTGGAGACTATGAAAAAATATTGCTTAAAGGAGCTAATGATATTGACCTTAAAATGGTGTTTAAAAAATTAAAAACTGCTTTTATTCTAGCCGAAATAAAACTAATAAAACTTTGTCCAGAAGAAAAAATATTATAGGAAATACTGTGAAAATTTCCTTGCTCTGTTAAACATCATTTGGGAAATATTAAAAAAGAAAAAAAAAGTAATTTTTAAAGGAATTTATTGAAAAAGCTCGCAAAACTTTTTTAAATATTTATACTGTGTGTTATTTTATTTCATTTTTACTATGTGTTAGTATTATTTTTGCTTTTTTTATTGACTTTTAAAGTAACTTTTCTTAAGACTGTGTATATGTATATTTAAGTATTTATTTATGCATTTGTTTTATTTTATTTATGGTTAAAATCTGTCTTCTTTATAGCTGACTGTTTTCTATTTTAAAAACAAAATTGGAGTAAAAACAATGTTCACTGATGATTTGCTAAATTTCACAATTAATTACTCAGAAATAAGAAACAATAGTGAATGAAACCTACTTTAATCGAGTAAAAAACATCTGGAATCGCATTATGTTGTAAGACCAACTCCAATAATAATGTATAAACTCCAACAAAACTTGTCGACTGCATTGTCGTGTGCACATCCATATGCAAGCAGCCGATGAAGGCCGAACTGATCAAATCTTTTCAATGCATCAGTTGTGTGTTTGAGTAATTAGGCCTGATCTGACTTCTCATGCATTGGTGTGCAGGATTTTACTCCTCTGCTGTTCTTTCCAGTCTTTCACACTTCACTTTAGATGTTTGGTTTATTCAGTGAGGGGGCAGGTGTTGTATTGTGACCCTGTCCGAAGCCTGAGGGCAGGTGAGCGGAAGAGGCTCCCCTCCTCCATGGGACGTGTTTGAGAGCAGCTGCTGCAGTGGCCAATCAGAGGGCTGGAAGAGCCTCTACCTGAGAAGGTATCAGCCGTGTGTGTGCGGATCTGTGAAGCTGCTGAGAGAGTGTGTGTGTGTGTGCAGTCTCTCGGACCACTCTCACCCCGAAAAATCCCTCTTAATACCGAATAACAGCCCAGAGCGCACTGATTATGGAGATTAAATGTGTTCTCGTGCTCTGTTGCGCCTGCCTGTGCGCGTTCACCGGCGCGCAGACACACAAAGAGAAGATTTTCGCGAAAGTTGTGGATCTGGTGTCTCCAGGTGAGGAGTACCTGTCTGAAGATGCGCTGGTGTCGGTGTTTGAGCGGCTGGAGAACCGTGTGCAGTGCTCCGGTGTGTCGTGTGGAAAGGTAAATGCATTTGCCGCTTTTGGAGAGGTCGAGGTCCAGCGCGGCTGAAGGCTCGTGCGCTACACCTGTCTGACAATAAATGCACCTTATAGAGGCACAAATGCAACCTGACTGAATTAATCTTGAGGTAAAATTGGTCCTACAGTAGTCAACATTCGAAGTGAATCAAAAACAGACAAGATTAGATGTTGTTCAATAGTTTTAGGACAACTTTGATGAAAGGTGGTGGTACACTTCAAATGTCGGCTACTGTGTATTCGCACTTTCAGACTTTCTCTTCAATAATATAATTCAGAAAAGTATTATTTGCGAATTAGAGAAATCATATTAGCAGCCAATGACTTTCAAAATATTGTTTACAGTCAATGTAATAGTGCCAATGTTGTTTTAAACTCACAATTAAATGCGATTTTAGACCGAATATTCGATTTAACGTGATCAACAATCTCGGAGCGTTTAAATGAACGACTGTGCGAATATAAAACCAACTTTACCTCAATCTCAGAGCACCAGTCTGACTATAAAATAACATTTTTAGAGACATACTCATAACCTGACTGAAATACTAGCCGTTATACTATAATAATGTAGGCATTATCTGAATCAGTTGGCAAATAAAGAGTCAGTTCTGTTTTTAACGGGAGTTTACAACTTTTGTTTTTGGTGGTGAACAGGTTAAATCTTTCAAGGACCGTGTGCTATAACTGGTACCGTTTTAATCCATGTTTAATCTCTTTGTTTGTAGGCCTGTGGTTTGACAAATTCCTTTTTCGTGCATAAAAGATAGTCCCTTTAACACCCGTTGGCATGTTATCGACCTGTTTTCTTTAAAGTGTTTCCTTTAAGTCTTTGAGAAACAAAATATATAATGTACACTGTGAAAAGTGTAATGCTGGGTTGTTTTAACAGAAGGCATTGTCAATTATGGACAAAACCAACAGCTGGGTTGAAATTATTTAAATTATAATTTTAAAAATTAGCCTAGTGTTGGGTTTGTCCTTATTTGACCAAACGTTGGGTTAAACAACCAAGCATGTTTTAGCATAACTGCATTATGAAATAACAATATTGATTGTATATCAGTAGTCTGCCTCAAAACACTTCCGTAATGTCAATTATGTAAGTTGTTTATTTGAATTTTATATATGTATTTATTTTATTGTTATATTTTATAATTCGTTAGAGCATATAACTTTTTGTCTTTTAGTTATTGATGATATGGGCTTACTTTACATCCTAATTACTGTCAATCTCCACAATAGTAAAGTCATTAATAAAACCTTGGTCATTTTGTTTAATTTCTTTTTTGTTGACAGTGGTAGTTAATGAGTATCTGTAATATTTTGGCAGGCTGAAATCAAGTTATGTAGGGCTGTTTTTATACACTGAACTTTGTATTACAATGAATTATAAAAAAAAAAGTGTTTTGAAAGGTGTCAGTGAGTTACATAAGTTTTACAATGTCACATTTTATGTGCATCCCATTTTTTATTTAACATTTTTCAAGAAGCCTAAACCAAATACCATTTTCTCGGATGTTAATCTAAACAATTATTGCTAATTATTGAAAAGAAATGAATTACTGATAATAAACTAATATTAGATACAAAAGACAGTTTGGCATTAAAAGATTTATGCTATGTTTAAATGAGAATGTACATTCTAGATATAAATTCCTATTAATAATGCATGCATTTAATGTGTTCAGAATACAGACATAATGACAGTGTAAAGTTTGCTGTGTGTGTGTTCATATTATAGACAGAGTAAAAGTGCAAAGTTTGGGGTGTGTGATCGGAATATAGACAGAATAACAGTGTAAAGTTTGGTGTGTGTGATCAGAATATAGACAGAATAACAGTGTAAAGTTTGGTGTGTGTGATCGGAATATAGACAGAATAACAGTGTAAAGTTTGGTGTGTGTGATCAGAATATAGACAGAATAACAGTGTAAAGTTTGGTGTGTGTGATCAGAATATAGACAGAATAACAGTGTAAAGTTTGGTGTGTGTGATCAGATTATAGACAGAATAAAAGTGTAAAGTTTGGTGTGTGTGATCAGAATATAGACAGAATAACAGTGTAAAGTTTGGTGTGTGTGATCAGATTATAGACAGAATAAAAGTGTAAAGTTTGGTGTGTGTGATCAGAATATAGACAGAATAACAGTGTAAAGTTTGGTGTGTGTGATCAGAATATAAACAGAATAAAAGTGTAAAGTTTGGTGTGTGTGATCAGATTATAGACAGAATAAAAGTGTAAAGTTTGGTGTGTGTGATCAGAATATAGACAGAATAACAGTGTAAAGTTTGGTGTGTGTGATCAGATTATAGACAGAATAAAAGTGTAAAGTTTGGTGTGTGTGATCAGATTATAGACAGAATAACAGTGTAAAGTTTGGTGTGTGTGATCAGAATATAAACAGAATAAAAGTGTAAAGTTTGGTGTGTGTGATCAGATTATAGACAGAATAAAAGTGTAAAGTTTGGTGTGTGTGATCAGATTATAGACAGAATAAAAGTGTAAAGTTTGGTGTGTGTGATCAGAATATAGACAGAATAAAAGTGTAAAGTTTGGTGTGTGTGATCAGAATATAGACAGAATAAAAGTGTAAAGTTTGGTGTGTGTGATCAGATTATAGACAGAATAAAAGTGTAAAGTTTGGTGTGTGTGATCAGATTATAGACAGAATAACAGTGTAAAGTTTGGTGTGTGTGATCAGAATATAAACAGAATAAAAGTGTAAAGTTTGGTGTGTGTGATCAGATTATAGACAGAATAAAAGTGTAAAGTTTGGTGTGTGTGATCAGATTATAGACAGAATAACAGTGTAAAGTTTGGTGTGTGTGATCAGAATATAAACAGAATAAAAGTGTAAAGTTTGGTGTGTGTGATCAGATTATAGACAGAATAAAAGTGTAAAGTTTGGTGTGTGTGATCAGATTATAGACAGAATAAAAGTGTAAAGTTTGGTGTGTGTGATCAGATTATAGACAGAATAAAAGTGTAAAGTTTGGTGTGTGATCAGAATATAGAC